GTCCAGACAGTTGGGGGGCACCTCCCTGACGCGTTTCATGTGACACACGTTTTCAAAGGGAGTCCAGACAGTTGGGGGCACCACTGACGCATTTCGTCTGACACACGTTTTCAAAGGGGTCCAGACAGTTAGGGGGCACCTCGCTGATGCGTTTTCGTGTGACACACACGTTTTTTAAAGGGGACTTACTATTTAGCAACCTTATGATCCTGTTATTGGATTTGTAAGTGTGTTTTACCTATCTGTATTATTGCACAAATAAATTACATACTACACTATCAGAGCTTTTGGGCCTGTGGCTCTCTTATTTGGAGGGAGCCCGGGCTTTTTGAAGGTGCTGGATTCCTCTTGATCTCCTGCGGGTTGCTGACTGATTTGCTGGATTAATTCCCTCATTGGCTGATGTATATCTCTGGGATCCCCGTCCTGCTGTCCTGGGAACATGACATCTAGTGGCGAGAATTAAGATGACATCATCCTCTGCAGTGGCTTCCTTTCAGAGCACCAGGAGTAGGTCTTAATTACTCCATGCTTCATATGCTGAGACATCTGGTTAGTGCAAGCTATTCTCAATTTTTACATCACAAGAGTCACCTACTTCCCTCTGGTTCCTCGACCGTGGATTCATCACAGAAGTCACGAGCTCAATATTTCTATACTCTAATGTTTTATTTTCATTATGAATCTTGCTTAATTTTAATTGAACTTATGCAATCAGGTTAATCTCTATATATGAGCGCTGCATATTTTTTATCACATACTATCTGAAGTTCTTTGAGGTTTACTTTCTATGCTAGCGGCTCATTCAATTAATTTTCTCATCCATATATATATATTGATTTACTCATCCGATTAAGTATTAGACACCTAGCGCTGTTGTACTTTATTCCAACATCTTTCATAATTCATATTCTGGTCCATACCTTCCCATCTGCACAAGCGACAGTCCACCCGTGGGTATATTATTATGCAGACAAGCCTGAGAATTATTTAGATATGAATTATGAAATTGTATGCTACACGGTTAGCGAGATCTATTTCTCTGCCTTCCCGGTCCCGAGTGACCCATCAAACTGTTCGCCTGCTCATCGTCCATCTGATGAGATGTCCGGCTTTTATGTAGGTCTCTCATATTCCAAGATATGAGACATAGGGGAAAAACTGATTTCTAAAAAATGTTATCTGGTGTGGGCTTCTTGGGAATGCCTTGAATTCCTGGGAAGGCTCCGTTATCTTTTCACGAGGCGTGAAATTACACAGGTACTTTGGCCAGTGAGACTCCAGCTCTCTTGGGAAAGCTGGTCCTATCTCTTCCTAGGTGAGAAAGGATACAATTTTCACAGACAACTCGACACCTAGCTAGAGATCCCTTGGCCGGCCAGTGACCCATAACCAGTACACACACACATCTGTCACTGTGCCTCTCAGGAAGGGAGGGGAAAGGAGAATGAGGGAAATACATGGGTACTCTTAACAAAATGGCAGACTGCGTCAGTCTCTGGGACGTGCGTTTGCGACAGAGACATGGATGGCTGGGTGAGTTTGTTTTAAAATGTTAAAAGTGGATTAATGGCGTTTTCTCAGATACAGTTAAGTTCTGCTTTAAGCAGCCCACAAATTACAACAGTCTGAAATCTCCTTTAGATTTTCCAATAACTATATAGTCCAGAGCCAACCTAAGCAATCTGTTAAATGCTCAGTACACTAGATTCTTAGAAAGTGTATAAACTGCACAATCAGACTAACATGTATGGCCAGTGTACAGTATAGAGAAATGAGAATCTCTAATAAATATGGCAGACAGGAACTGAATTTAAGAGAGAAGAGAGGCATGAAGTACTGTGTATAGACACAAAGCATTGTAAACAACAGAAAATTATGAGGTGCTGTGTATTGTAGGTAGACATGAAGCATGATTTTGAATAAAGAGGTACAATGCCCAGCATATAGTACACGGGCAACGTGCAGTGTGTGCAACAATAATTATGTACTGACACATTATAGAGAGGTTTGAGGTTCTATATAAATAACCCCTAAGTTGCTAGAAATGACCATACATGAGACACAACTGTGCGGTCTGGCCAACCACAGCTCTCAGAACACGGTTGTGTAGACAAAGATTCACCTGTAAGTACAGGCTTTGTTGTTGTGCACATGAGATCCTCCTGAGACAAAGAAATAAAGAGCTCCACAACACCTCAACAATGTGTTATTTTCTAGCAGTGGAGGATGTGATGTCACTCCAGATCTCCAAGGTACCATGATGTTAAAGGTGCTATGGACACCATGGTGTAGGTTACAGGTGCTGGGGGAGGTCGATGAAATTAGTGGCTTTTTTCATTTTAGTAAGAAAAATTAATCAATTCATTTTATTAGGTATAAATACAGCTAGAAACATAACTACAAAAAGACGCAGTGATGAGGCCGTTGAGCTATTTAAATCTATGCATGAATGAAAATATACTAAATACACGGCTATCCTGATACATCTTGTACTTACCAAATGTAATTTTACTCTTTTCTTCTTCATCTATTGCTCTAAAAATATCTGTTACACTAAGCTCTGACACTCCCAGTGCAGTCTTCAGAATCACTGCCAAGTCGTCTTCTACTATGGTTTTATCATTCTCTGACTGGTACATCTAAAAACAACAAAAATGATCATATCATCAAACACAAATTGGCCTAAAAGACATTTCTATATTTCTGTCAGAATTGCCCTTTTACAAGTTGGCTATATTTAAAGTATGTACAGAGTGTGCCCACTAGGCTTTCTTGAATGTATTGGTATTAATATCTTCTGGCTACTAAATTCCTCATCTAGCACTGCATTGTAGACCAATAATTAATGGACGTAATACAAAATGGATTCTCCAGCGCTTTATCGGATGATCCCTATACCTAAGCTGCTCACACCCAATCCTAAACCCAGTAGGTGAAAAACACAAATTAATATAAAATGGTGTAGCGCTAATAAATATAAATGCATAAAAAAAAAAATAATCACTACATAAATGTGCATAACGCAAGCATGAATAAATCCCAAGTGATAAATACACTCAAAAAACAAATAAAATAATGAAAATCTTAAGTGAATAGTGTACCACAGAAAAATCCTGTGAAGTAGGAACACAGGTACATAGCTCCCTATCCCCAACTGGGGGATCAATAGAACAAAGTAATTATAATAAGTGTTGAATAAAGGTGAGTCCCCTATGTGGGGAAAAATAAAGTGCGTCCCCTAACAAGGGGATGAATCAAATTCAAAGTGATATGTGTCACAAACACTGGACCACATCAAACAATAATAGTGACAAATAAATGAATATACATAAATTAATAATATTAATATTCAGTCCATATAAACAAGTCCAATTCAAAAAATCACATGTGAACATGTGATCCACCAACGAAGATCATGTACGTGATGAAAGTGAAACGTTATGCACATGTATGTAGTGATTATTTTATTTGTATGCATTTATATTTATTAGCGCTACACCATTTTATATTAATTGATGGACGTATATACACTGTGTGCAATTATTAGGCAAGTTGTATTTTTGAGGCTTAATTTCATTATTGAACAACTACAGTGCTCTCTGACAATCCAAAATGTTAATCAACATCAAACCTGAATAGTTAAAGTAAAAGTGAGGTGTTGGATTCTTAGAATATCTATGTGTGCACAATTATTGAGCAATTATTAGTTTGCAGAATTATTATGCAAATGAAAAATCCCAAATTATCCCACCTCACTTGTTTATTTTCATCTGTTGAAGTGAGAATAACAAACTCAAAACTTACAAATAAACATTTTTGACATTTCAAAAAAAAAAAAAAAAAAAAAATCAGTGACCCATATAGCCACCGTTCTATTCAATAACAGTCATATGCCATTCATGCATGGAGTCTGTGAACAGATCAAGAAACTGACAATCAACTTTTTGTGCAACAGCAACCACAGCCTCCCAAACGCTGTTCAGAGAGGTATACTGTTGTCCATCATAACTCTCCAGTTTAAGAAGGGCCCACAAATTCTGAATAGGGTTTGGGTCAGGTGAGGAAGGGGGCAATGTCATTATGCTTTCATCTTTAATGCCTTTACTGGCTATCCACGCAGTGGAGTACTTCGATGCATGTGATGGAGCATTGTTCTGCATAAATATCATGGTTTTCTTGAAAGATGCACACTTTTTCCTATACCACTGCTTGAAGAAAGTGTCTTCTAAAAATTGGCAGTAGGTTTTGGAGTAGATTTTGAGTCCATCTTCAACCAAAAAGGTCCAACTAGCTCATCTTTAATAATACCAGCACATATAGTACCCCACCTCTACCATGCTGGTATCTGAGTCGAAAGTACAGCTCTGTACCAATTACTGAGCCAGCCACGGGCCCAACGAGTCACTCATCTTATCAGTCGGTAAAACCTTTGCAAAACCTGTCTTCAGATATTTCTTGGCCCAGTCTTGATGTTTCAACTTATGTGTCTTGTTCATTGGTGGTTGGATTTCAGCCTTCCTTACCTTGGCCATGTCTCTGAGCACTGAGCACCTTGTACTTCTAGACATTCCAGTCAGGTTGCAGGTCTGAAATATGACAGCACTGGAGGATAATGGGTTCCTTGAAGCTTCTCAAATCTTTGGCAGTTAATTTGTGTGTTTTTTTCTCAACACGCTTCTTGCAACTCTGTTGACTATTTGCAACAAAACGCTTGCTAAGATATTGGGGCGTGATCACAGAACCTTCAATTTCAAGAGTGCTGCATCCCTCTGAAATTGCTTTTTACAATTTTTCAGTTTTCAGAGTCTGATAAATCTCTTTTTTGGCCCATTTCGCCTGAGGGAAAGAAGCTGCCTAATAATTATGCACACCTTGATGTAGGGTGTTGATCTCCACACCCTCCCTCATTACACAAATACACATCACTCATATTTAAAATCACCTCTTTTAAATCCAATAACCATTCAAGTTTATACTGCTTGGAGTTGGACAATACGCATAAATGATGCATTATGATTTGGCCAAAAAACTCACTCGCCTAATAATTGTGCACACAGTGTTATGTGTTACAACACACTAAGTGGGATGGTCTACATTCTATGGTCATATAATCAGGCACAACATTGTAAAAAGAAAAAGCTACTAGAAAGAGCAGTAACCTAAATGTATGAGCAGGAAATTACATTTTTGAGGGAGTGCTGAACCTCAACAGGATATAGAAAGCTTGATTTAATAAATAAATACAAGTCTGCGTATATGAAGGAATCTCCTAGACAGTCACAGCACCTTCCATTGAATGCCTGAACAGTGACTGCACTAAACTTGATGTAGTCACTGTTTTACTGACAATTTTCTATCCAGTTCTTTTGAAATGTTTTTTTTTTTGTGGTGCTGGATGGTGCCTACATAGCCACCCACAGCCTAAATTTTGGCTGTTACAGCGGGAATTAGCAGAAATTTAAGTCATGTATGGCCAGCTTAACATAAGTGCCAGTGAAAAGATAACTATTTCGCAAAATATCACCTAAAAGTGCAGCTTTGTGAAACAAACGATTTGCTTAAAACTGATTTCTAGCTGTACTGTTTGTTTAAATAGTTAATTTGGGCCAAGATGGCCAAAATAAACCATTTTGTGCACTAACAGATGTACCCGCTGGGCACGCTGTATAAACGGGTTGTACCCCCAGCTTACATACAGCACTCAACTGGCACAACTGTTTGTGTAGAAAATAGCTTGTGTGGGCCATCTTGGCCTAAACAAACTATTTAAAGTGACAGAGCAGTAAAGCTGAAGAGCAGTTTTAGGATCTGTTTTTTTTTTTTAAACATATAAATCAGGGGCATTTTCTGAATGCAGTAGGGCCTGTGTGCAAATTGGGCCCCATTCTTCAAAAAAAGAAAAACTGAATGAACCATTTGTGGAGACTGGTGGGGAAAAGCCTGGAGTTAGCTACCATTTGCCACCCTTATCTGCAGAGGATCACCAAATGTCTTTTTGTGTCCCCTTACTGTAGGACATCACTATCCCCAATGTGCCCCCCTACTACAAAGCATCACTATTACCACTGTGTCCCTTTACTGCAGTGGCAAAATTATCCCAGCAACCCAGCTTTGTAAAAACCTCATCCACGGCATTCCTAGGTTCCAAACTGTAGGGGATTTAAAGCCACCCCCTATATTCACACCCATGCAAATTATCACTTCCTCAGCATAACCTTTGGATGCTAAACCTGAAAGTGACAGGTCCAGCTACAGCTCAAAGGTCGCCGTGCGTATGCTTCCCAAATCAAATGTATTAGTTTAATAAGTACCTGAAATCGCATCTCTCTGCCACAGACATGTTTCTAAAACTGTTATCAGCATGCTATACAGTTAGGAGTTGACAATGGATGAAAAACATTGCTGAGAACTTCAATATCATCATGTCCGCTGTGGAGGGACGAGGATGTCTGTTGGAACTTTTATCATCCTACATTTGTGAGTTATGCTTTCATATTCCTCCTATAATGAGCACTGCATTGTAGGAGGAATGGGAGAGGGTTACACAGACAAGGTATATATAACTAAGTGGCAGGTTTAATTTAAAGAAAGCTGGTAATGAGAGAAAAATGAAAGATGGTCATTACTGAACGAAAACAGAAAATGGCATGCTCAGTCAGCGACAAACAGGTATGCAGATAGTGAAGTCAAAACTTCAGGCCTACACTCTTGTTCCATGCTAGTGATTCAAAGTACTGCAGTCATTGGAACAACAAGATAACCAAACAACCAACATTTTCAGGAGGTGGTGTGCAAAACCCAGGTATTTTTCCCAGTGCTTTCCCAGGATTCTTTAGAGCGGGTTTTGTAGCTAGGCACACAATGATAAGTAGAAATAAGCCAGTTTTGTTTTACTACTTTAACACGTAAAAACAACCCACTGCATTTATATAATTCACTTTACTATACATATCTGATATTATATGTTTTTGCCATAGCCAACAAATAACCTGATTACACCTCTCCTCTTTTCCCTTCATTAATGTTACTCTGGTTATTCAGTCTCGTCTGAATATCCTGCAACTGATTGCCTTTATACTGCCTGTTATGCATTCTCCAACAACATACTGGCATAATTACTATCACACTGTATATATTATTCTAGTCTATTCTTGTTCTTTTCTAAATATTTTAAGATTTAAAGTGAAAAAAAAAAAAAAAAAAAAACTTAAACCTGCTCCTACCCCCATTCTAGGCCCTGTACTAACTAAAGTAGTAAAAGGAAAGACGTGTATACTTACCTCATCTAAGGGCGATCCTGTGATTGGCACTCAGCACCAGCTTCAGGGGTGGGAGAGACAGCAAACAATGGAGGCCCTATAGTAAGTCTATGAGTGATGTCACTGCCCAGGCACTGCAGCCATTGTTTGCTCTTTCCTCTCCCCGAAGCTGACTGCTGGGGAGATCACAAGACCACCAGAGAACGCTTACATTAGGTAAATTTACACATCTTTTCTTTACAGGATAGTTAGTATAGGGTTTAGAAAGGGGGTGGGAGCAGGTTTAAGCTTAGATAGGTTTAGACCGAACTTCTAATATCACAACAATAAACAAATACCTCAAAAGCCAACTGAATGGTGTCCAAGGTCTTGGAAGGTCTACACACAACAGACAATGCAATAACATACTCCCTTAGATCAATTGCACCTTCTTCATTCTGTGAAAAGAGACAGCAATCAGAAAATAAAATGTTTGTTAAGGTTTCGGAAATTGTTCTTCAGTAAACTTTGTCTTAGGCTTAAGCAAAGCCTGTGACATCATTAAGTCAGAAATCACTGTTGCAGTTTGGAACTTTATTTGCGGACAAGTTAAATGATTTGCTGGATCCTGACATCTGTATAAGATCATGAGATCCCTACAAAAATTCCCACTTTCATTCAACTGCCATAGTGTTTGAAATAGTCATGGCAGTTGGGTGATAACTGACAATGATGTCTTTTTTCTCAATGGACTCCCTTAGAGCAAAAGCAGACATTGTGGAAATCAAGCTACAAGGGATTGACACCATTAATATAGCCATGTGAAAAAGGATTAAAAACAATCAATATGTCAAGAAAATCTCACCACTTCGCTCCTGCAAGATGTAAGTAGGCAGAAAGTGGATCCAACCCAGTGCTTCTAAAGTTTTACTTTTTTTTTTAAATAACAAATGTTTTACTTACCTGCTCTGTGCAATTGTTTTGTGCAGAGCAGCCCTGATCCTCCTGCTTGCTAAGGGGGGTACTTATGTGGGTTTGCTCCTGAGCTCTACTGCCTGCATCCACAAACACAGACTTAGCCCCACCCTCGGCTCACTTATTATAGGATTTGATTGACAGCAGCAGGAGCCCATGTCTCCCCCTGCTATAAGTTTGCCCTGTGAAGAGGGAAAGAGCAGATATTGCTACTGCTCCAGTGCACAGCACTGGATCGATGTTGGTAATAAACCTTAAGGCTTCAGAATCACTTTAAAGGCTTTAGAACCACCTTCATAGAATGCATAGCCTTTATAACCACTTTATTTAAAAAAACATACCATGTAAAACTGACAAATTTAGATTACCTGCTAACAAACTAGTCCTATTAAGATTTTAAAATATTTTTGAAAATTAAAGCACTTACTTCATCAAATAAGGCAAATAGGTCCTCTAATTTCTCTGTTACTGGAACAGACAGGTACTCTGCAAATTCTTTTAGGTTTATCTTCTCCCCTTTCCTTTTCTTGGCACTTTCTGAGAATTGTTTTAGCTCTTTTTCAAGCTTTTCTGGCTTTAACCTGTGAACAAAATTCCTATTAAATAAGGCATATTTAGGCAAGCACAAAGTAACTAAATAGAGTTATAATTCTCATTTTCTTAAGCCAGCAGGAAGTTTAGTAGGAACCGGCTGAATTTCGATCCATGTATGGGCAGGGTGGTTGTACAGAAGCCGATCTACTAATTGACTTCTGTACAACCTCCCTGTTTGAAAATTTCTGTTCCATCAGCATCACCAGCTATAGGCAGCAGCATTGATAAGTGTATTCTGATGACAGGGAAGTCTCTCCACTGTCAGAATACAAAGGCGCAGCAGGGAGGATTTCCCCATCCACATTGAGTCCTTGTTTTTCCTTCATTCAACCTGCTGGATGAACAAAAAAAAATGAATTCCCTGAGGTTACGTGATGTCATCACGCCAGACATTTAAGGTTGACCATCTTTCTTTCTGTAGTTTGGAAGGCTTTTGATGCTTAAGGGGGCAATTTGTCTTTTAATGAAACAGGTGATTATTCCTGGGCACTGGTGTAGTGCACCATGTTTGCGAGTATTATTCAGTTTTTTTTGCTAACAAATCTACATCCTTTAGGTTACTATACTATGAGAGTGCGTCTATTTCTTCCCTAGTAAATTGGCTACTATTTAAATTACTGAGCTGCTGACAGGATGGTTGGTTCTGAGATTTGATGCAGAGTGAAGGATTATAACCCGTAATATTGGGAAGGCACATTTAGACCTAACTTTAGAGTGGGTCAAGAAGTGGAGGTAAGCGGGAGCACTGACAGGTGGAAGCACAAGGTGGTACATCACATGGATATTTGGAGCACACTTATATATGTTTGTGGACAATAATTCAAGCACGTTTTAAGCATGTGAATTTAGGTTATTCACATTAACAGCAGAGGACTGTTCTGCAAATTTCTTTAAGGACTAGATCTACGATCACATATTTTCAGAACTTTATATGGTCACACTATTTCGGTTTATCATTATGATAAGTATGTTTTATATTTGGTACACTTTTTTTTGTAGGATTTATTTTGTATGTGTATTACAATTGCACATTTATACGAATTATTGGTTTGCGCAGCACTTTTTTGGTATTATATATGTTGATGTGGAAACACATCAACAATCGCAAGCGGCAACAACTAGTTATTTTTGATTTTGCACATAATAATCTAGTATTTTGACTGGCAAGCGTGGGATTGTTTGTGATACATAAGAATGAATGTGTCAATAAAAGCTAAACACTGGGCAGATTTAATAACACTAGTTAGTGCAGTTATGTATGTATTACATCTTTTCAATGTATTTCTACATGATTTTTGTAAGCAAGTAACCTCATCAGTATATTTGCTGTTCCTTCATTATCCCCCCAGAGGCTGGGGTAAAGAGAGGTGATCACGCTGTGGTAGAGAAAAGTAATGTCACTGACCTGGCTGTTCATGTATGGTAGGGCTGGACAAAGTTACAGTATACATCCTTTAACAGATAAAACATCAGTATTTCAGCTATGCATTTAGCCATTTACCTAGATTTCAGCATTAAACATTCTGCTAATAAACCAAGTTAGGATGTCACCTTCAAAACAGGGAAAATAAGATGCCATTGAGATAGCATAATGTGTAACAATAACTGCAAGGACATATCTGGCATACCTGGCTATAATGAAAAATAATCATTAAAAGGAAATTACAAAAACAAAATCAGTAAATATAGTTTGCATAGATTAAAGTCCTTGAACCTGTCCTTGAATTATAAAAATGGGCAATCCAAGAAACGCTAGCAAACTCTGTTTGGATCATTCTGCTCATCTCTCCACAGATGTAAATGGATATTCCAGAAGGTAAACATTACCTACCCCAGACTTCTTACAAGTCTTGCAAACTCCAAGAGAGAAGTGTCTGATGGGAGACGAAGCTGACCCTCCGCTAATGCTAGCTGGCAATCTTCAAATGTGTAGTCTGTGACAGACACATCCAATGCTCTTTAAGAGAAAAATTCAAAGTAAACATAACAGAGAAAAATAAATGTCAGTCAATTGTAACATTTCATTCTTTCCATGAATGAACCAGAACTTGAATAAAAATGAGCTGCTTGATGCAGTCTGAGCACCACCTATCGATAGCAGTTCTTATTGCAAGAAACATAATCAAACCTTTTCAGGTAAAACAAAACTTCAAATAAATATTAAATACCTCTTGTATAATAATAATAATAATAAAACACCGCCAACTTAAAGAGTTTCAATAGGGGCTTGTCTCATTTATTACCATACTTGGATTGGAGCAGGAAAATGTGTTTATTTAATTTGCACCTATATTCATACCTGGCCTGCCCCACAAAAGTGGGTGAAGAACTGTCTGCAGAAATAATGTCTCCGCAGAAGTCCCAGCTTCTTTGCAACTTCAGTGAATGCCAGGCGGTGCAGTAAATAAACACTTTTTAAATGAAAAAAAAAAAGATTTTTCTCTTTATTAGTGATGTTTACTTCAGTCATTTAAGTGTTTGAATCCAAAACATTATTTTCAGTATGTTTGACATTACGCCTCACTATATACAGTTTTCCAAAGCAAACTATTTTTATTTTATTTTCTGCAAGTATTATTCTGATAACGGCACTTACCATTTCAGGCTAAGGTCCCTTTAACATGGGTGTTTAGCCTAGATCTATCTGTCTTTCTCAGTCGGGTCCAGACAGAACCACAATGTATGTCTATGGGTGGGTGGATGTAAACGGATGATCATCAGTTTACATCTGCCTACATCGATGTCAGTTCAGGTCCATTTTTTCTTTTTTGTAAATGAAACAGCAGGCATCCAGATCCATTGAAACAGAACAGATGTAGACTAATGTAAACTGAACTGATATAAACAGATATACATTGAACTGAATTAAATTAATATAAACTGAACTGAAGACGGATGTGCAAACTGATATAAACTGAATCAGTTTTTTCTTTGAAAAAACATGACTAAAAGCATGACACCTGTGTGAAAGAGGTCTAACAATGGTAAGACACTGCCTTGCAATCAGTACCAACATTGTCAGCATCATGTGTGTACTTCAGTTAACTTCAGAGGAACAAAGTGGATGACTGCACACTGGTGCACAATGAATTTCAGTTTCTTTAACCTCCCTAGTGGTCTGATTATGTCAGTATTTTTGTGCTCAAAGTGGTACATTTTTTTGCATGGAAATATGTTTTTTTTTATTGTAGGCTGTAATTTTTAGGAATAACTCACTGAAATCTGTCCAAGAGTCTAGTAAACATCCTGGGTATGTTAAAATTTGAAACACGAAAACATAAATAATAATTTAATAATCATTAAAAATAATATAATAACTTTAATTCAATAATGTAATCAAACCAAAAAACACTGAGATTTGAAATAGAGCGCCAAGTTCACACATCACTGGGCAAAGTCGCAAAATCGTTTTCAGTGTCTGATGACGAAATTCCACATGAATTATCACTCAATTCTTCAAGTGGTTCTAATTTACTATCGCTGTTCTCTAGCTGGTCTAAAACCGCTTTTGACCTAAAGGGACGCTTTTTGGACGCCATGGACATTTCTCAGTTTCCAGGCAGAAAGAATGGTAAAAATGCAGGCAGGGCACAGGACAAAGCACTCGGGACAAAATGTATGTGAAATGGCTTTGATACAGTAATGTTTTACTATGTGATTTTAGTGTATTTAGTGAATGTCACTTTTTCACATTTTTAAATTTCCCGCCGTTCCGTCCCCATACGTCCCGACGTCGCAGGGAACGGAACCCGGAAGACAGATGCCGGCAATCGGCCGGAGGACATTGATGGGGACACTGCAGGGGGAACATCGCGGGAGAGAAGGACAAGGTAAGTGAAGAAGAGATCCCGGAGCAGCGCTGCAGGGTATTCCCGAGTGTAGCTCGGGGTTACTGCTTGTGGTGCTGAAACTTTACCCCGAGCTACACTTGGGAATACCTCCAGGGAGGTTAATAAAAGATTCACAGCAGCACAAAGTGAGTGAATATATTAACACTTTCCTGGCCAAAGATACTTACTCAAAACATGCCACACCTTAAACTACAGCCATTTAAATCCTCCTGTACTTAGTTAAAATACGCAGTTGAGTATAGTTGGTGACCCATTCTCTCAACACACAGAACAAGATAAAACCAATGTATAGTTTTAATATTAAATAATAAAGTACAAATGTTGAGGACAACAGCACAGTCTGAAAAAAAACATATGTATACATTTAATAACAAAAAAACTAGATAAACCCCTAACTGGGTATAATTAGAAAAATAACAAATAAGAGGCACAAACTGACATCTTGCAAGATAAACTCATAATCCAATGAGTACCCACATCTAATTAGCAAAGAAAATATAATCTAATTATCAAAGAGTCTATACACGATCATCTGCAAGAGAAAGAGATCAGATGTCCCTCCTAAAAATGAGTGACATCCCGCTCACAAAATTTAATCCATTAGGTATGCAGGTTTGAAGCTGGATAGAGGTAACTACATGGTGCTTAAGGGTGATCCTACTAACTATTTTAGAGCTGCCCTGGCTGATTTGGTGACTAGAGGGATATCTTCAATTCGAAAAAAGCTCAAATGGTGTTGCCCGAGTACCCAATTTTAGCCTTCTTTTATTCACCCGAAACACACAAGGGGTTAAACCCCTTGCATGACAGAAACAATTATAGCGGGACAGGCTCACTCAATGAAAGAATAAGCCATTGGTTGGATAACCAACCTTCAACCTTTAGTAATTCAATTGCCAAGGTACTTGAGGGATGCGAAGCATCTTTTGAATGTGATGGGTAAATGTATATGGGAGGAATGGTTTGTTTGGATTGCATGTAATGTTGCAAGTTTATAATCCTCCATCCTGCATGTCTTGGCTATTGAAGCAGTATAATTTGATTTAGAATATCACACTGGCTATCCTTTTGAGAATCATGTTTGTTCTTGAAGTGCTGAAATACTTACTCATACACAATTCCTTTTCTTTCAGTAGGATTTGCTACTTAAAGAGATGTGAGGTCGCTATGAGGCCCAAATTTTCACCCTAACTTGCCAACCTCTTTATGGGTTGGTAGAGGAGGTCTGCATCTATGAAGGGTGGCAACACATTCAGATCATATATTAAAATATATTTATGCTACACTGATGATTTGAATTTTGTGTGAGATAAAGTTTGGTGACCTTGACTGATATGTTCCTTACCTATTTTTAACCGGCTAAATCTGAAGTTCGCTGGTTGTTTGAACACCAGGGTGGACTTTTCTGGATGTATGTTTGGTGGGAAAATATGGAAAGGTGTTCACAGAACTGTATAGGAAGCCCCCATCAGGGAATAGTTTATTGCAGGCCAGTTGGGACATCCCAGGCATATCATCAAGAACACTTCTGATGGGCAGTTTTTACAATTATACAGTATATGTATTGAATAGCTTTTTTGAACAGAAAGCTACCCTAATGTACCAGTGCTTCATTGGCAGGGCAAAGATCTATAATGAACAGGGCATATGGCATTGCTAAAACTAAAACCAGGACAGGACTTTTATGTGAGAATAATAATGGGAATCCTGGTTTGGGGGGGAATACCAGTGTTCCCCACTGCATACAGTCTACAATTTAATCATGTTAAAAGAATCATAGATCGATATTTTCAAATTCTGTTGAACGATGCTACAGTACCAGGGAACAGAATCAACATCATGCACATTTTGGTGATTTGTCCTTTCTCTTTGCTTCTGCAACTTGACTGCATTTTAACAGTAATTTCCATTGTAGAATCACTAAAGTTCTTTGCTGTTCCCACATTTGGGGAGGTGATTTAAAATCAAATCCTTTTGAATTGTAATACTTGTTATATATGTCATTATTTTCAAAATTTGTTCCATCCAATATGTGGGAAGGACTATTAGGAGATTAAGAGATTGAGTTCATGACCTTATTTATAATCTAGAACAGGGGTCTCCAAACTGTAGCACTCTGCTTGCCTTTATCTAGCCCTTGGGGCACTACTCCTTCCACTGATACGCAGCACTGTTCCTTCCACGGACACCAAAGATGGGGAACAAATTCTCCCACTGTAACCAATAATGGGGCCCTATTCCTCCCACTGACACCAGTGATGTAATTGGCCCTTTTGGCATTTTTCTCCCACCAATGCTAGGGCATTTTCTACTCCCATTGGCCACAGTCCGGCCCCATAAAGTTTGGAGAACCCTAATCTAGAACAGCACCATTCCACCAATGCAGCCTGATATGTCTTCAGCCTATGTTCAGGCTTTTTAGAAGGTAAGATCACCCAAAAGGAAGGGCCGAGGGGGAAGGTTGATGGTGAATGCGTTCCAATTATTATGCCAAAGAGAAGCTCACAGGATTTTTGAGTTGGGATGTCACTCATTTTTTGAGTGAAACCTGGTCTTCTCTTGCAGATGATAGCATATACATTCTTCCCCTATGATAAGGACATTTTCTTTGCTAAGTGTGGGTGCTCATTGGATTATAAGGTTATCTTACAAGATGTCAGTTTGTGCCTTTTATTCATTATTTTCCTAATTATAATCGTGGGTTTATGTAGTTTTTTGCAATATATGTTTTTTTCTGATTGTGCTGTTGTCTGGAACATTTGTACTTTATTATTTTTATATTGAAACTATATATTGTTTTGTGTGTTGAAAGAATGGGTCACTGATTAAACTGTCAAGTATGTGCAGGGGGATTTAAACAGCTGTAGCTTCAGGTGTGGCATGTTATAATTAAAGAAGAATTCTGGGATAGGCAAAAAAACCTACCTATTAGTACACCCCATACACAAAACACTAATCAGTTAATACAATTCTGAAAATCCTTGCCATTTAGGAGAAAAGCCTAATTGAATTTTCATGACCTCTTCTCCATAATTCAAAAGATCACAAGATAACAGCACAGGGATGTTTCATTTGACATGTAGTTTTGAGTGCTGGGCAGGTAGTAGTTTTTTTTTTTTTTTTTAATCCTTTAGCCCTGCTGTGGGCAAGCAGCAGGGCTCACCTGTCAGGTGGAAGTATTCAAGTGGCAGTGCTGCCATCGATTGCTTCCACACAGCCCACAGTGCCAGTCTCTGCCCCCCAGCCCCCCCCTTCCTGTGTACCTCTGTCCTGCCCGCTATGTCTTCCGGGCTCCGATTGCCCATCTGCAGGCCTGGGACCAACCAGTTCAGCAGGTGCCAGTGTGTAGAGGGGAAGGATGACAGCAGACATGTCTCCTCCCCTACTCTTCTTCATGACCCGGAAATTACGTTATGAGGTCACTTCCTGGTCCCTGTTCACAGATTTCCCGAACATCGAGGCTGAGAAAGCATGTAATGCAGTGCATTACATTCAGTGCAGTAAAGGAGAGACATGCAGGCTCTTTTAGACTGTGCATGTCGCAAAGAGAACAGGTCACCAAAACTCATCACATAGGGAACCTATTGTCCCCCATGTGATGAAAAAAAAAAAAAAAATTTTTTTTTTAATTGTAAACAATTAAAAAGTTACACCCAAGCACATAAACACGTTACATATCGCCACGCACGCCAGAGTAAGAGCAATATTTCTAGCACCAGACCCCCTCCGAAACACTAAATTGATGACCTATAGGGGGCTTTAATAGTGTCTATAGAAAATGTAGGGTACTAAAGTTAGTGGCCATTTCATGAGCACATGCGAATTTAAGGTTTGAGATGTTGAACATCTATTTACTCGGCGCAACCTCATCTTTTATATTGTAACAAAAAATGCTGTTTTGTGCCCTAAAATTAATTTTTTTTTTTCTACTGAAATTTTGCGTTTCCTAAACCTTTGTGGTAATATGTGCATAAATTGGAACTGCCACTATTTTGCTCTCTAGGGTCTCTGCTTTCAGAAAATAGCTAATGTTTGGGGGGTTTTGTGTAATCTTCAGGCCTACAATGATTTTTTTTTTTTTTTTTAAATGTGTGCAAAAAAAACACAAAAAAGGCCCTGGCAGCGAAAGGGATATAGGATAAGCCTGACACTCCCCTTTCCTGACGAGCACCCAATCAGTGCTCATTACACTGCAAGGTCTCTCCCCTCCCTACTAGTCCCTGGGTGCGGTGCTGGAGCCAGGCAGGGAGGGGAGGAGGAGCTTTACAGCAAAAGGTTAAAAATATTAAAAATTTAAGTCGCCATAAAGCCCCTTTTATTTTTAAAAGCTCCAGACATTCCTAAAAGTACCTCAGATTGAAAAAGGGTTTTGGTTAAAATAAATTTTTTTTTTATCAGGACAAGTAGATTGTCATGATGGACAAGTAGATTGGGTCCCCGATTTAGTCCCTGGACAAGTAGTGTTTTAAAACATTTCCACATCCCTGCAGCATCTGCTCTGCTAAGGAGGAGGTGTAACAGCCGGGATTACATCATATCCTCTCCTCTCTCACTGCAGTAAAAGGAAACTACAGTTCCCATAAACCACAGGGAATTGTAGTGAATGTGGGCAGGTATACTAGGCCTGTACATGCTGAATGTGTTTGAGAGTCTCGGTCTGCCCACCATAGCGGCTGAATTGCATCACTACTTCCTGGAGAAAGAACTACAGAAGGGATGTGCCAATACCAGTGGCTGGGGGAATAGGAGGCATAGCAGTCACTGGTCTGACAAACAGGAAAAAAAATAATTAATGGTTTGATTTAAAAATGTATAGGCTATTTCAGAGCAACTACTGAGAGAATAAGAAGATGGGTGACATTCAGTGAAGGTAGGAAATCAGCAATAAGTACGTGTAAATAAGTTTTTGCCCAGAATTCTACTTTAAGCGCCTTTGGCACGAAAAACGTTAACATCGTCTCTCATTTTGTGTTGCTGTGAAGTTGTGACTCTTTTATGGCTAAAATTAAGAAACTGGAGGAGTTCATTATGCCCCAGTGTGCAGTCACTCACTTTGTTTACTTGAAGTCTTGCAGTGACAAGCCAGACCAGTACCGGCTGCACATTTTGGGATGTGTGTTTTTGTGGACATTTTGGTCCCATTCTTCAGTTAAATGTTGGGCAGCCTATCAAGTTTGTACTGGCCTGCTAGGCAACTCAACGGCCAACTGAAAGAGTAAATACAGGTGGCCGACAACATTACTGTTAATTGTAAGACAGCAGCTTACCGTGGTCAGTCTTAAACAGGAAATGCATTTTATGGCAGGCTCTCCAAGCTACAAACTTTGCAACAGATTCACCAGAAATGTTTGGAAGAAGTGAGGCACATACTGAACATACTGAAAAATCAATTTTAGGTTTTATACACTGAACAATTTAATAGAGATTACAATTGGACTATAAATACGATTGTTGGTGTCTGCAGATCACAATCTTTTAATGCAGGTTATTTACTGCGGTTTAAATCCTCATCTATTTCCAATAGAAGGCAGCGCAAATAAAAGGGAAAAAAAAAAAGCCAAGACAAATGAAAATAGGAAATTCCCTAAATTATATCAAAACATTCCAACATCAATAATCAAACATTTCTATAATTTTGAGAGGAATATCACTCGGTACCATATTTTCTGCAGTCTTTACAGACAATGCTTTTAAAGCTTGATTTGATTTTAGCTGTACCATAAATTCACAGTGGACTGAATTCTTGCAGATGCACACAATAATATTTTATTGTGCACTTTACTAATTAAGTCCAATGTCAGCACATGCACTGCTTGCTTCACCTCTGCTAAGCAGTGAATAAATTCCATGGGTGAAAGAGCAATTTACTCACATTACATCTTGGCACACAATGGAAGATAAAGTCAGTGTAACTCACATTATTTATTCAGTTCAACTACTGTAGTGATAACATTGCAAAGAGTGAAATGGATGTAATCAACTCTGCTTAAACTTAAGAGGTCACTAAAGCAATTCAGTTAAAAAAAAAAATCAAGAGACCATTTTCATTTTAAGGAAACTTGTTATAAACGATCTACACTCTTCTTCTACTAGCAAGTCAATGCAGCTGATGTATGAGAAGGGTGCATACAGGAAAACTTCTGATTATTTACAGCAGCCATTTAGAATCCTTGTTACATATTTTGAAACATAGGCAAGCTGGTTTCATTTAAAATCCTCCATCCTCTGTAAATCTTTTTTGGAGACAACCCCATATCTTATTCTACAGTATTCTACAATCGTTGTAGACAGATGATTGGTGGACTACAATAGGTGGCCAAACGTATCACACAGAGTTTCAAGCTCTCACATGTCCCATTGTTGTGTGATTGTACATTGTTTGATTTTTTTTTAATAGTCTGGTGCACTCATGGAATCTGCCCTACTGCTTGAATTTATTTAAATAATATAAAACACACCCAAAATGATAAAAATACTTGCAAGGGTTTTAATGCATTTTACTGCTCCCTGTGTTTATATACGCACCTTTTTTTGTTTTGTTTTTTTAATTTTGTGCTGTTTCTGTACGGTTGATAAAGTTAATAAAACCGGATTTAAAAAAAAACACTTTTTGCACTGACTAGCTGGACTGAGTGTTAGGGACTGTTTATTTGCAACCAGACACAACATGGGTTACAGGCCACTAGAAATATAAATACCACTATTACCAATAATAAAAAACAAATGGAAATACGTACTTTGCCATAATACGCCTTACATTGTGAGCATACAAGGCAGGGTTCTTCTTCTCTTCTTCAGAAGGAGTATAAATTGGAAGAAACTAAACATATAAATGAAAAAAATGTTCCTTAGAATATTCAGCATAGGGATGACAGCTGCATGAAAAATGCATTCCTACAGTTCTGATTACTCTGAGTTTGCAAAAAACTAGGCAACTTCTACAGTCATGCTATGTTTTTTTCTTCAATGAGCCTTTCCATAACACATAGGTTCATCCTACATTCTCATGATGGCTTTACAATGCCTAATAGTGTATAAAGATGTGACACATTAGTCCAGTGTGTTCAGTATTGTGGTATTTTAAAGATATTGTTCGATTAATCTGTGTTAGAAGAGATGAGTAAATCAAATATGCAGCAAAAACAATATGTTGTGTAATTTATTCTGTTCTACAGACAGCTTTACAAAATTAGCCAGAGGGGCACCACCAACAAAACGTTGCTGTAGAAAGATACTGTAGTTTAAGGCCAAGTACTGATGGATGGCATAGCTATGCATGCCAACCACTCACTGTACAATATACACTCACCGGCCACTTTATTAGGTACACCTTGCTAGTACCAGGTTGGACCCCCTTTTGCCTTCAGAACTGCCATAATTCTTCATGGCATAGATTCAACAAGGTGTGGGAAATATTCCTCAGAGATTTTGGTCCATATTGACATGATAGCATCATGCAGTAGCTGCAGATTTGTCGGCTGCACATCCATGATGCAAATCTCCCATTCCACCATATCCCAAAGGTGCTCTATTGGATTGAGATCTGGTGACTGGAGTACAGTAAACTCAAGTTCAAGAAACCCGTTTGAGATGATTTGAGCTTTGTGACATGGTGCATTATCCTGCTGGATGTAGCCATCAGAAGAGGGGTACACTGTAGTCATAAAGGGATGGACATGGCCAGCAAACATACCCAGGTAGGCCAAGGGAATTAAACAATGCTCAATTGGTACTAAAGGACCCAAGGTGTACCAAGATAATATCCCCCAAACCATTACACCACCACCACCAGCCTGAACCGTTGATACAAGGCAGGATGGATCCATGCTTTCATGTTTACACCAAATTCTGACCCTACCATCTGAATGTCGCAGCTGAAATTGAGTCTCATCAGACCAGGCAAAGTTTTTCCAATCTTCTATTGTCCAATTTTGGTGAGCCTGTGTGAATTGTAGCCTGTAGCCTCTGTTTGCTGTTGTTAGCTCACAGGAGTGGCTGCCGGTGTGGTCTTCTGCTGCTGTAGCCCATCTGCTTCAAGGTTTGACGTGTTGTGCATTCAGAGATGGTATATTCTGCATGCCTTGGTTATAACGAGTGGTTATTCGAGTTACTGTTGCCTTTCTATCATCTCCAACCAGTCTGCCCATTCTCCTCTGACATCAACCAGGCATTTTCATCCACACAACTGTTGCTAACTGGATATTCTCTTTATCGGACCATTATCTGTAAACCCTAGAGATGGTTGTGTGTGAAAATCCCAGTAGATCAGCAGTCTTTTAAATACTCAGACTAGCTCATCTGGCTCCAACAACCATGCCACGTTCAAAGTCACTTAAATCCCCACTCTGATGCTCAGTTTGAACTTCAGCAAGTCATCTTCACCACGTCTAAATGCCTAAATGCACTTAGTTGCGCTGCCATGTGATTGGCTGATTCGAAATTTGTGTTTCCAAGCAATTGAACAGGTGTACCTAATAAAGAGGCTGGTGAGTGTATAACGATAACCAAATGTGACAAAGAAGCATGTCAGTGGCATAGCATCTGATCCTTTCCGGGTGATCACAACAGGCATCAGCCACTCATTTGTACAAGTACTCACTCCAAAAATATCCTTCCCCAAATTTATGGAAGCATTCAAGGAAGCAGGTATTAGGTCTTCTTCACAATGTGATTCATCCTAGTTTCCCTATTAATTGTTATTTTAAAGTGTTTTGCCAGCTTTTGGAGCTCTTTCTGAACCACATTCTCAATTCTAACAACCTACCAAATGCTTGGAAATTATTAAGGTGAGTGATTACACAAACCATCAGATATTACCTTGTCTTAGATACTAAATGGTTTTTCATAAGACTTGCAATTTTATGGACTACAGGATAACTGTACTATTGTACAGTTATACTTCTTCCCTCCCCCAAACCCACAAAGTCTAAAGCAGGCCATAAACTGGTAGATTTGTGCAAGAAATATCAGCTGTACAGGAAGGATCATCCAGAAAATAATGCTATAATTATATGTATTGCAAATCATCTATACAAAACAAACAAATCTCTTCCTAAATAAAAGCTTCTTACCTCAATTTCTACATAGTTGTGAAACTGACATAAAGAAAGCCAAAGTATTTTCATTCTGAAGAAAAAGAATACATTTATTCAAATGTACATATCTGCATTTCTCACCTTACAAACTTGGGAGAACCAATCTGCCATTTACAAAGTTAGAGTAAGAATATACAAATATTTCCATGTCATTACTGAAACACATGGCTGTCATTAATTCGGGAGCACAACAATGGTCAATTTACTGTAACAGAAGTTCAACAAAAAATTAGTGATGCACCAATATATCGTCCGAAAAAAAAAAAAAAGAAAAAAAAAAAAAAAGGGGGCTGATAATGATAACTGACTTCAATGCAAAATCTCGTCCCACTGACTTTAATGAAAAAAAAAACACATCCCTTTGATTTCAATGTAAAGACACCTCCTATTGACGTAGACGCAAAATTGAGTCCCATTGACTTCAATGGGAATCAATTTTGCATCAATGTCAATAGGTGTTTTTGCATTGAAGTTAAACGGATGTGATTTTTTCATGCAAAATCACATCTCACTGACTTCAATGCAAAATCACATCCCAGTGACTTCAATGCAAAATCGCATCCCATTGACTTCAATGCAAAAAAAAAAAAAAAAACCCTCGACTTCAATGCAAAAATGCCCCCTCTTGACTTCGATGCAAAAACGCCTCTATTTACATTTTTTAAACTTTATATATATTTAATTTTTTTTCTGTCCAATTTTTTGTGTGTTACTTTCAATAAAAATTATTTTACATTACTGAATTGTAGCTTTTAATTTCATATTCATTTAATTTCATGTTATTAATTAAAAAGTCGAATATAGCACAAGTATAAAAAAAAAATTTTTTTTTTTTTTCTGTAACTGTTCAATTTCTGAATTTTTAATTTCGGTTTAAAATTATAATTTCGGTGCACCACTGCCAAAAATACTTTTTGCTTAGATTTTAAATAATGCTCAGGGAGTGAGGGAAGAGTATAAGTACACATCAATAAAAACACATTTTTGTGGAATAAAAAAAAACAAGAAAACAAACTTCAGAAGCTCTGAGCTTTTTATTGCTTTCTATGCCTTCATGCTCAGTATTCCCCCCACCCCCTGCACAGCCCCTCATTTCTTGTCCTGATGTAGCAGATAAAAAGTTTGGAAGGAAAACTTCACAATGAATCCATAGACAGCAGATGTTAATTTTTCTATCCAAGAGTAGAGTTAAAAGTTTTGACAGGAGTTGGAAGTACCAAGTACCACATTATTCAGAAAGTAGTGTTTGCAGGAGTAAAGTTATATTTATCTTACTTGGGTCTTTAATTTTTAAAAAGTTTTAATATTGCGGTAATATCCTGCATGTAGTAAATCTTGTGTGACAGCTTCCTGTGTTGGACGTGCATTTAAAAACACATTAAATGCAGGTCAGCCAACTTTTATTGCCTTCAATATAGTGGGAAGAAAAGAGCAATGTAGATAAGAGGCTGCCTTGCACTGCTTTGGATGCAGAGGGTCCTATGGACGTGTATTTGGATTTTCTTTTTGCCCTGCCAACTGTACGAACCACAACTTCTTCTGATCAAGTTAATAGAATTAAAAAAAAAATGTTTAAGAAGACTATTATTTGCAGTTATTAAAACAACAGAGAGAACAGCAACAAAGGAGACCTTATTTAATTACGTTTGCCCAAAGGATAGAAAAATGCCTTGTATTCAATTACATAAATGTACTCCATGCTTTAACAAACCAACCAAAAAATAAAAAACACTTACGCCCCAGGACCTTGCCATGTCCACGTTATTGTATCCTTAAAAACAAAAAACAAAAGCAAACCTGAGATATAGCAGCAATTTTAAGTTTCTGAATAGATTATTTCAGAGCATTTACCTTAATAGCAAAACATATCCTTTAGCCTAGGTTCACACTGGTGCGGTGCAAGGAACTGCATGAGATTTGGACAGGAAAAAATCACATTCCCGTTCAAATGACATGCGATTCTGTGCAGTGCGCTTTGAGCCCATTCATTTTGTATGGGCTCAAATCGCACTACACAAAAAAGGTGCATCTTCTATTTTTTTAATAAAAGCTATCCTCCTGCACTGCCAATACCTTACCAAAAAACACCGAGTGGCTGCAGACACCTAACTATACTACCAATAGTGCAAAAAATGAATAGGAAAATGGTGCTGGGCTACCCAAAGGAAAAACAACACGTATACTAAAGATAATCAATATATGACAAATGCGAGAAGATAAATAAAATAATAGATGAATATGAATAAGTATGATAAAAAGTGACAATCTAGACAAAAAAAAAAACAAATAACATGAACGTAAACGGTGTTATGCCTTTGTGACGACCAGGGCTGGAGTTTCATATTAATAATTTCATTACATGTAGATTGGAGGGAGTGGTCTATGTCTTGCAATGTTCCTGTGGCTTACAATATATTGGGAGAACGAAAAGAACTTTGTGGAAAAGATTGTGGGAACATGTTCAAAATATCAGGAAAGGCTATCCCAAACATAGTATATCTAGACACTTTGCCACTCATCATGGTAAATATCCCTCACCGTTGGTGTTTTGGGGGATTGAGAAATTCCAACAACACTGGAGAGGGAGCAACAAGATTCGAGCCCTGAGTTAGGCCAAATCGCAGTGGATTTTCACCACGCAAACTTTGGCCCCTGTAGGACATAATATTGATTTTGATTTTGTTTCATTAGCGATTATTAATTTGGGTTTTGTATTTATTGATCAGTCTCTCTTTTCTGTTAGTCTCTTGAGGTATTTTATTTAGGTACCCTAATTAGGGTCTGTCCCCCCTTTTGTACCCCCCTTGTTTCCCCCTCCTACTGTTGGGTTTGATGGGGATATTTCGTAGTTTACTACACTGGATTCTTTATATGCCTTCTTGTCCTATATAGGGCCCTTGTGGTCATATTTTTATACATTATTTGTGTTTTTGGTCTCTGTTCGGGTTTACCACCATTGCCTCAGTTATATGCCATTAGGTTATGTTTTTTTTATTATTTTTATTTTCATTACTATACATTGCTGTAGTTTTTAGCTTTAGTTCCTACTGCTGCTGCTATTATTGCCCTGGTCTATTATATATTATTTTTTTCTTCTTAGCTCTTGTTTTTAGGAGTGGTTGAGCTACAATTATATTTCCCTTTGTGAGGCTGTGGTCCGTTTTTTCCATGTACCATTTATCATGTTTCATTTTTATCTATTTATGTCTAGTGCTTCTGCCTTAAGTGGAGGGATATGTAGTTATGCATTACTGATATCCGTGTATTTGGGCTTCAATAAAATGGCCACTGTAGTCCATCCCCTAAGTGATTTCAGCTGTGGGCTCTCTACATCATGAAGCTTCCTATCTCCACCTTCCTTGCCCTGAGGAAGTTACATGATGTGTGACGTAACGCGTAGGACGGAAGCGTGGTGACGTCATTTCCGGCACGGACCGCAGCCGACATCTTGGTACACCTCAGTGGAATACACTTGTGTGTGTGATTACAGTTTTTATGCCTGATGGGTCTGTGGACCCTTGTTCTTATGTGAGCAGGCACTTTGCTGTTTTTTATCCTATAAATGTTGTTGCCTAGTACACTATGGGCAGTTTTCTGGTTTAATTTTTCCATGTGGGGGTCATCTGAGTGGTGTTTGTTTGGCCATTTCCGTTAAGGACATCACATCTGTGGTTATCCTTATGAGTGTTCACTATTCCCGCCAAGAGGATTGCCCTGATTATTGCAAAAGGGACATACAGGAATAACATTGGTTGAGTGCAATGAAAGCCTTATAACCCTGTGTGGGTCGCAGCCTGCAGGTGAGCGTGCACGCTAGCTGGTGGAGAATTGATCTTTGCAGTGGTCACTGGATGTGTCACAATGTTTTGAAGATATGCAGATTTATTGGGACTGTGCACTTCTGTTTTTTTTTCACTTTTTTTTTTGTTATTGCTCACTTATTATATATTTGTGATTTATATATTTATTATATATTTATATATATATTTTTTGTCCATGCAATTAGTTATTTGGATCACTTATTGGGTCACGTTCATGTTGGTTTTTTTTTTTTATCTGTTTAGTTTGTCACTTTTTATCATGCTTATTCATATTCATCTATTTTATTTATCTTCTCACATATGACACATATTGATTATCTTTAGTATACAAGTTGTTTTTCTTTTGGGTATCGCAGCACCATTCTCCTATTCATCTTCTATTTTTTGCTGCACTGGAATCAGATTGCATGGGTGTTCACACCCATGTGATCCCATTCTGGTAATGACATTGCGTTTCGAGTCCTCTTTTGGTGTGTCGTTAATTTAATATTGACAGCAGATTGCATGAACATGGTGCGATTACAATGAAGTGCGGATAACGCACAGCACTTGCTGCACCGCAGATATGTGAACCTAGGCTTATTGTGACAAAAAGAAGGTTGGAAGCATGGTTGCAGTGGGAAGTAGCTGGGTATAGACATCACCTGCTTCTACAGGACCTGGCTATCAAACAGAAGATATCACTGGGAGTGATACTCTCCTGGTGTAATCAGCAGGTATCCTCTGTCAGTATTACAGATGGGTTCCACATGATCAGTGTAATCTGTATGGAGTGTAAAAGCCAGATATTACGATTCATTTATTAAGCAGAGTTTAGCAGAACTGGCCACATTTTGATCAGTGTACGGTATCCCTGCTCAACAATATTCTCTTAGTTGATTTACTACTGTCGAAAACACATGTTCAAATACTTTTTGCTATCAGCAGCTAATGTCAATCAACTCCCTCCTCATTTGTGTGGATGAAGGAATCCATTTTTTTTTGTTCAGCAAGCTGGCTCAATGGAGAGAAAAAAAAAAAACAGCATAAGGCCATTCTTAGTGTCTTGGGACAATACTTTGATCTGCACACAATGCCATATTCAGCAAATTTTCAATGTAACGAAAATAGTAATTAAATAAAAATGTGATCTCTTATTGACCAACTTATTTTACTATTTACATATTAAATGTTAAAATTTGTGTTTGTTCATTCTTGTAACGTAGCATTAAAAATGTATTTTTACTAGAAACATAATTCCAGTGCATTCATTAAAAGGACAATCCCAAAATTAGCTACATCATTTCAGAGTACAGATTTTGCGTTCAATAATGTGACTATAAATGTAGGTGTTTAATCCAGCTCACTATGCCGAATGGCACTAGTTTAGTCATGTTGCAACACAACCCCATCTCGTTTGTTTTTCTATAGACCAAAAAAAGGTAAGCTTAGTAGGGCAGACCAGTGGTTATTTTCTGCACCGTGGCCTAGCCGCTGTATGTGCGCATGTACAAGAACCATCCGTCTCTGCTCAGGAGGCTGGAGGGAGGGGGTGGGTATACACACGTACTTTGGCATTTTCAGCTTGGTGTCAAAAGGGAGATGATTTAATGACGGATCACTTCAGGTTTCAGTTCTCTGATTGGCTGCCCTGGAGGGCAGAGCAGCGGCCATAAGTGAGCATGTCACTGGCCAAATTATCACAAGGGTTGGCATACAACCCTTGCAATGGCAGTAAAGTTGAATGAAAAAATAAATCTTAAAGTGTAAACAAAAAATGTAAATAAAATAAATTTCAAAACACCCTGGTCTTACTCCCACCCCCATGCACACTCGAAAATGGGCACATGCGAAATACGCATACATATGTAAAACGGTGATCACACCACATGTGAAGTATCACCATGAATGTCAGAGCGAGAACAATAATTCCAGTGCCACAGCTCATTTTATACTCCAAACTGGTAATCTGCAAAAGGCTTTTAAAGCGTCACTTATTGATCATTTTAGGTACCGTAGTTTGTCACGATTTCAGAGGAGTTTTCAATTTTAAATCTTGAAATGCTTGGTATCCATTTACTCGAGGCAACATCTTTTATATTTTACCAAAGAATTGGGTATTATATTGTGTTTGAGTGCACAAAAATTCCTTTAAGTGTATTATTTTCCCTAAAATTTGTGTTTTATAAATGGCTGCACAAATATCAATTGACATCAGCTACCATTTTACTCTCCAAGGTCTTTTGCTTTCAGAAAATATAAAATGCTTAGGGTTTCTAAGTAATTTTATAGCAAAAAAATGCTGATTTTGGCATGCATGTAAGAAATACCAAATTTGTCCCTGACAGCAAGTGATTAAACACTATTCATATTGAAAAAAAATCTAGCTCCAGGAGTAATTTAGTAAAGCACATGCTATATCCCAGGAATATAAAAAAAAATCACTGGTTTTGTTTATAGTTCAGAATAGTACAGTACTGACATGAAACCTAAACGGTTATAAATGTTACCTGCACTCATTTCTGATCTCCTAAAATTGTAAGCTTTGTGAATTAACCCTTCTGCTCCTCCGAGCTTAATAAACTGATTAAACCATTTGCAATTGTCTTTTCGCTTGGTGCGCACATGAATCCTGCAGCAGTGTTGTGAGCCTGGAATTCTCATTGTGTTTACTATACATAGCCCTGTGCTTTAAATTGTGCATTAAACTCTGATGGGAATCCTGAAGCTCTATTAATTTAATTGAATTTGGAATTGGGGAAGTGTGAATTAACACTGCAGTGTCCAGAGATCTCCTTTAAGAATGGGCCCCTTGGCCCTTCTGAATGAGAGTGAAAAATGATCAACTACCCGATGATGTCCAATTTTGAAGTTTGTAGTTGTTTAGTATGGGGGCTGAAGCCTTGTTAGTTGTAAACATACAGTTTGGAAGCTACATTGTCCTGTCTCCAGATGCCACGCATATAACATA